TAATGGTACCACATGAGCATCCCGAGTCCCCATTCCAGACAGAAGGGAGAACTGTTCCCAGAATGACTCCTCCGAGAACAACCTCAGGGGGACATGGTCTGCCCTGGAGATGGGAAAATATGGCAATGGAGTCATAGGGGGCTAACACTTCTGTTTGCAAGACTGGAAAAAAGCATACTCATTATGAGTGAAATTTGAGCTCTAGGAAAAGTCAAGAAGAGGTTGATATTAGTTTCAGTGATGGTAGGATTTAACTGTGTCCTTATTGTCAAATTTAAAGGTTTTTTTAGGTAAATGCTGTAAAAACATTATAAACATAATTCAAATCAAAATAACTCTGATTTCCCTAGTAAAACTTCCAGCCAACCATGAACTGGTAAATTGACACCAGGCTATTATTTTGTATTGGTGGCTCCGGGCCAACCCTGGAACTCGTGCTGTGCAGCGTCGCGGCCCGACCGGTCTGCGCCCAGCCCTGGGCTCTGGGGCCCGGCCCCGGGTGCGGAAAGGAACGAGAAAATGGGAACTTCGCCTGTGGGGACAGTGCCATTGTGGGAGATGAGAGGGGAACCCCGGAACACACAGAAGAGAAGGACAACTCTAAACCTGGGCAGATGGAGCTCGTCAGCCCTGTAAGGCCATCCATCTAAGAGAAGGTCACTCTAAACAAACCTACGTCCTGAGTGAGGACATCGCTGCCACCGTCCAAGCTCGCTCGGCCCCAGCAGATGAACCTTAGGATTAAAGGGTGGGCTCAGTTCAGCGCACACTGTGTCTCACCTAAAAAATCCATTGCGCAGGCTCGAAGGCCTTACCCACATTTGCAAAGCCCTGTATCACCAGTGTGCTTTTAACCAATGTGGGTGGAGACTTTTCCCAGATCTTTGTTCGCGAAGACTGACCATGATGACGATTATTTTTTATCTGGAAATCTTAGCTGAGGTTGCTATTAGTTCAGGAGTCTCTTCATGTCCTGTCGCTTTACTCATTCTAGGTTTCCCTAAGACATGTATTTTAAACGCATTTAAAATTAATTTAAAATGCAAATACAAAACTGGACAAAGACAAGGTCAAGGGTAGTGGTATTCAAGCTTGAAAATGTATGAGGAGAAGAGTATTTTTGATTAAGAGGTGCAAAAATACATGTGTAAAAGGAAACAAAATCTTTAGGTATTGGACTAGAGTAGTAATTTATCCTTTGGCAGTTCCATCATGGACTTTTGACTATGGACCTCAAATGGGTCTGGCACCAGGGCTCTGATAAAGCAAATGAGGACCAAACTTCAGTGGCTGCCTTGATAGGACAGGCAGCTGGACCTTTTCCTTTCTTTAATGAGACCTGCTCCAACCATACTTCACCACAGCTCATGTTGCTGCTGCTGTGCCATGTCCCATGCCATCTACCAAATGCCATGAGAACGAGCAGCAGAAGCAAACACAAACATTTATTCCTTGCCTCATAACAAATTCACGGTGTTTAGCCAAGGTTAAAATGCTTAGGTATATGCTTGTTGTCTGTTTATTGCTGTGGCTTTGTTTTATGCTAAATAATATTTTTATCTACCTTGAAGTTCAGAAGTGGATTTAAGGGAGGGGAGGAGACTGATCTAATGCACCTCATGAGGGACAATTTCTCATTTCCTCAAGGAAGGAGAAAACACAGTGAATTTTTTAAAAATGTCTTTCATTACAGAAGTCAGTTACTAAGGAAAGAATCTGCTGGGCCTCAGGAGCCTGAGTGAATCATAGTATTTAATATTTAACCCTTACCTAAGCACTTTGCTAATACATGCTATTTAGTGTAGTGCTTTCTGAAGTGAGGTAGACGCTAACCTAGCCATTCAGCATCCAAAGACACAGTACCAGAAAGTTTTGGTCAACAGCTGCCTAGCATCTGCTATGCCTACTTAAAGGCACCTACTCCTCCTTGCTGATGCTTAGGTGTTATGGTCAACAGTGTTTAGTCTATACAATCGAGAAGGCTTTATTCTGCTGCCCCTACGCAGGCTGCTTCATTGGAAATGTGCTGGGTGTCCAGGGGATCCACACGGGGCTGGTAAACATGTATAGGACCTGCGGGAGATCAGTGACTTGTTGGGGGTTAGATGGGTGCCTTGGGGCATTAAATGCCCATGTGCAAGCAGCTGTATGGATGAAATCTGGAAAGGTATTTAGGTAACTGTTGCCGGGTATCTGCCATAGGGTCAGATTAATTATTCCATATTGGTTCCATTGATTTTATTGACTGAACTGCCAGTGAGTGCTCAGATTTTAGTTCAGGTACAGAAGCCTAAATAAAGCTGAAGCTGAATCCCACCCTCACTGAGCATAGTCTGGAATGGTTTATTCAGACCTTTTTTGATCTTAATCCTGCTTTATTGCAATGGAGACAAGGATTCTCTTTCCTACTTAGAAAACAGAGGCAAGATCTCAGTTTTTCAGTTCTCTGTGCTTTTGATTACCGAGGTATTAAGTATCTAAGAATTTGTTTTTACCTTAGAATGTCTAGAAGCAGAGCTGGCCTAATTCCAATTGCCATGTTTGACCTCTTTAATTTGGGAAAATTCAGATCTCTAAATAGCCACAATTTCTTTGAGCATATGTCCACACATGGGCTTCAGCCTCCATATCCGCATGCCACAGGCTGGATTCCTCTGGCCAGGACGTGCCCAGGCTGTGTATGCAAGCTCAGCACTTCCTGGCCAAGAGAATGCTGACTGCCATGACCAAACCTCTGCTCCCTTCCCTCTTGCTGTCTGAGCTATATCCTGACATCTCCTTGTATGTAATTAACTGTCTCAGCTACAGTGTTTTCCAGCTGCAGGATTTTTACCCAATGACTCATTAACCCCCCTGCCAAAAAAGCTTTGGTTTTTCCTTCTTTTTTTGTTTTGCTTTGCTTTGTTTTTTTTCTCTGTAACAGACAGCCGAACATGTTAGCCTTTCTTTACAGATTCCCATATTCTGGGGAACTGTACCAGATTCAAATCTTTCTCAAAGAAATTATCAAGACAAAGAAACATCAATTATACACATTTTTATTTTGTGACTAGGCAAGACCACCTTCCCAGATTTTGGTGTTCCTGGTCCCTGACTCAGTCCATATTCTTCCAAAGTGTGCTTTCCTCAGCTGTGAATCACACACTTAGTTTAGACAGTCTTACACTCCCTTGCCACAGGCCATTTCTGCACCATTGTTTAAAAATCTCCCTGGTAGACATTGATAAATGCAAACAGTTGGGAGTCAAATGCATAGTTTTACAGAGAAGCATCAAGATAGATCATTCGATTGGCAGAGGTGTGCAGCAGTCTCATCTTACTTAGATTTCAGGCTTTGTTTGCCTTGGATGAACTAACTGTTCCTAAATCCCCCAAAGTGACATGTATGCATGAACAAAGCAGCCTACCGTACTTCACTTTATTCTAGTTCTTTGAGAGGTGAGCAGGCAGACAGGCAGTGACCTGAAACTTGTGATGAAATCACATCTGAATGAAGGATCTATGGCCATCATCTCCTTCATAGCATCTTTCACACGGAACAGAATCCACAGATAAAATTTGTCCAAAGGATCTGACTTCAAACTTGTGTAATGCATAGTTACCTATGCATTACACAAGTTTGTAGAATATATTTCAGGGCAATATGTGGATAAATATTAAACTTACTATGCAAACACTTGGTATAAACACCATTTTACAAAGAACTTTTTTTTTTTTTAACTGAATATTTCACTAGAGAATATATATATTCACATGTGGGTTTTTACCAGCTACTTTCAAGATAAACCTACCCGATACAAGTAACATTAAAATCACTAGTGGCTTTAGCCATTGTCATTGACTTGAAAACATATTGCAATCCAAGACAAATAGGAAGCACAGAGGAAAAGTTATAGTGGACATGACAGAATTTTTGTAGCTCTGAGAGAACAGAACTTGTATCACAAATAGCATTTTTTTAACCTACAAACCCAAACAATTTAAAAAATCACATGATGTGTCCTTGAATGACTCTTTTATAGAAATTGGAAACAGCAAAAGGAACTACACAGCAAAATGTGGTGCAACTCTGAATATGGAAAATGCTGTTGTGAATCAGAAGGGGGTTAGTTTCAAACAGACCTCCTTAGTTCTTTCACATGGCTGAAAATCATGAAATTATTTTCATGACCAATCATGAAATCTTTCTCTGTTGGCTGAAATGAAGTTTTTATTTCTGATCATTTCACACACATCAGGACAGAAGATTTTTTAACAGAGTTGGGATTGGAGTGCTTTTAATTGTTTTAAGGGCTGATGCAGATATTACGAAACAACAGATACATTTACACTTTACAAGATTAAGAATAATCTATTCCTTAAAGTCAGGATTTTTTTCCCCTACAAGACAAAATAGGACATAACAGACCAGGGAACACACAGAAACAATTTTGCCCTGGATGATTTAACACAGCATATAAATGAGTTGCTGGGCACTGTAACACACTTTCTTTCTACACCGACTTGGCTGAGAAAATATTTTAATTTTTTCTCTCATCTTTTATTCTGAAGTTCAGCTAAGCAAAATTGACACTGTTCTACTCAAGACACCTGCTCTTTCCCTCTACCGGCTTCTGAACTTCTAAATTCAGTGATTAAAAAAGCAGTTTCTCTTCTCTGTTCCAGGCCACACTGTACAATCTCTTCAGTATGATTTTACATAAATTGTAATTACAGAACCTTTATTGCTAACCCTGGAGCTAGAAAGAGCTCAGATAGACTTTTCAATTTTGTGATTAATTTTTCAAGGTTCTTAGCCAGTTAAGACACAATCTTTTAGTCATAATCTGAGTAGATTTTATATGGAACTCCTGAAAGATAATATATACATACACACTAAAGACATTCTCAGATAGAATATTCAAACTATTCTAAAGTTCTGTTGACATAAAATTGTTAAACTTTCCAGAAGGACACTGCTAGTCTTTCATCTTTAATATCCAGGCAGAGCTTTTGTCAGAACTTAAGTTACAGGTTTTCTGTGAAATGAATATAAAATGGGCTGAATCATGCAATGCACTTATACTTGTTTTAGTCAAAATGACACTTGTAATGTTGGGAGGCTGCAGAGTAGCTGGTACTATTCATGCAATTATCACTGAGATCTTAGCACCAGTGCAGAGAGACAGAAGATGGCAAAATGTTCCTCTTTGGAATATTGGTAGTGTCTGTACAAACCTGGTCATTCAGATTATAGTTTAGTAGAGCTAATGCACTATACCTAAATATTTCCAAAATTGCTAGTAAATCTCTATTAAGACCTCCCCAGGCTTGTCTTCTAACCAGTTCTAATGTTCAAGTTCAAGCTGTTTTAAAAATACCTATATATTGTCAGTGGAATCTGATTTTTTTATTTCTTAGGAGGCCTCATTTACATGGCTTCCTTGCTACAAAATTGATAATTCTGGATCTTAAGTGCAGAAGTGCAAAAAACATTCTTACTGAGGAGATAATACTCTGTTGATAGAACCATGGCAACTGAAGAAAACAATACACTGTCCACTGTAAAGCCACTCACACAGCTCCTGATGCTTCATCCTTTCTTTAGAACAACAAAAGCCAGGTGACTTGATCTTTTTCTTGAGCAGGTCATTCACTTCTTGATCTTCCTAAGGTGAAATCCATCCTGTTGGAATGGGATATATATTCGGTTTACATGCTACTTAGTCCTGCCTAAGTCCCATTTGTGTTTAGGAACATAAGTGACTCAGTTTTTGCACATGCCTTGTGCAGCCCACCAGAAATAAGTAGTGGTTAGAGATCATAGATAGTGATCTCTGTCCTAATACAGGCAAAAATTCACAGTATATGTACTGAGGGGTTTTTTCCTCTCCTGAAATTCATGGCTCCTCCTTATGTCTGACCCAAGTACACCACGTTATTTCAGGCTTCAGCAAAACTCCTCCTTCTTCCTCCTTCCTCACTTCCACCAGGCTTACAAATTGTCCTCGCTCCAGTAGGGCAGCCACTGCTGGTAAAATTCATTTGGCTAATTCATTTGGCTAATTTCAATCTTGAAAGCTGAAAGCTGGAAACCTACTTTAAAGTTAATAGAATTGAAATTTTCTCACAGCTTATCTGATTTGATCACATAACTTAGCAACGCAGACTGTATAACCAAGATACAATGTATCCCTAGCGAATTTCTACTTGGTTACCCATTTCACAAATCAACTACAGTGTGATCCAGTAAAGATATCAATTAGCTTATTTTGATAAATTTTCAAAAAGTTAAAATGACCAAATGTTTTCAGCAGCTTGACCTAAACATAAACAGAAATTTTTCTGACAAACTTTAAGGAGTGCACAATAACATATCATGGGGTAAGATTCAATGGAAAACCAGAGCATAAATATATGCACTAGAGAAAGAAAAGAGTCCGGAAAAAAACTGCATTTGTTGAATACTTACCAGTTGAGCCCTGCTCCAAGAGTCAAGGCCAAATGCTTTTGGAACAATAGGCTAGGGCTAAAGCCCATTTTGCAGTTGCTACTATTTTGCTTGTAGTTGTTTGAGGTCCTTTTTTAAAATCTCCTTATGAACATAAAAGAATCACGTGACTTTTTTACTAAATTGCATATTTGTAGTGAAATAGTTTGACATATAGACTCACAGAGAAGCAGAGATATGACTAATACAATTTCTGTTTGATTGTTTGTCACACGTTTTTCAAAACTTACCTGGACTATTTGGATGCTACCTTGTATAACTGAGTAAGCTTACATTTTTTCCAGGTCATTCATAAGTTTTACTGTAAAAGAGAAAGATAATGTCATTGCAGTAACCAAGACAGGAGAGGAGAAAAAAATATGCAAAATCTTGTCTCCATACAGCTTAAACTCTATAGAGGAACTTCTCAGGAGAGAATAATTAGTTTTTTTAGTAAATTTCATGTCAACTAGAATTTTGAACTGTATTCCAATGATAACTTATTCATTCATTGAAGTTTATTTAAGCTTTTGCGGTTTTTCTGATGGATGGACTTGGAAACTGCCATGACACTTTTCAGCATCATGTTACAGCTAAACCAGAAAGATGATGTGGGCACTATTTTATCAGCTCTGCACTTTTCTATATTTTTACTTTCATTTCCTCTAAGTATCAAACAGTTATATTGGCTTGGTGTGAGGCACACAAACATTTTAGCCAGTAGCAATCAGGAGTAACAATGGGCTGTCATCTGGGTACTTCAGACTACCCGACTCGAAACCCCAGGTGACCAGGAGTTAGCTCACAGCATGAAACCAAAGCAAGATTTGAGTTCAGCCCCAGTGGACCTTCAGAGAAACACCTCTGTTTGGAATGTTAAAGGCAGTAAAAAAAGTGGAAGAAGGGCAGGCAGATCTGCCACTTCAGGAAGGGACACATTACTCTGTTGGTTTCAAGGATGGCGCAGACAGGATACTCTAGTTTTTGGCTGTCCTGTGGTCTGACATCTCATTGGCAGCAGCAAGTCATGGGGCTTGCTTTTGGAGTGCATCTGCTGGTTTCATTTCATTCAAAAAACATCAGGTTCATGCACTCCAGGATGACTCTGCAGCAAGAACCACAACGTGAATAGTGAGAGTGATCAGGAGATTCCCATCAAAAGCACACACATCTACAACACTAAAATCCATCTGACTTCATTTCCTAGGGTTTTCAATTAGACCTTGGAAAATTCCACAGATGTGGTCAGGAGGGAATAAAGTGATCTAAAACAGTAGTCTCTCTCTCCTTCACTCACTGAAGCTGTATAGGGAAGGCTAATGATAGAATTAGGCATTATTCTACTCTTCCCGTCTCAAGGAGTTGCACAATAGAAAGAAAAATCTGTGTTACAACTGTACTGAGGATTGGTTCTAGCACTAAATATTTTCTCAGGGATCTTCAGGAATTGACATGGTTGTGAAAATATGCTCTTTACTTAGTTGACTTTTTCCTTCTATTCCTGAACAAGCTCACCTGTCTGACTGAAGAGAAAGTTCATTCAGTTCACCGTCGTCCCTCATGTCTTTTCTTTTTCCTTTCATACCCACCATTACTCTAGCTTACATTTGATATACTGTCTGAGATACAGTAAATGAAATTCTAACCAATACATCAGTGGATAAAAGCTGGAATAACTAAAAAAAATTAATTTTTAAACAACAGATTTGCAAATCATCGTGTGTCTTAGGCACTTCTATCCTTTCCTGAGCCTGTTTTTTTCCACTGCAGGACCTTTCAAGAGAAGACTATCTCTTACCTTCTATTTACAGAATCAGCCCTTATGGTCACTGGAACCTCCAAGGACTACTGCATTTTAAACAATAAGCAAAACAATAATGCACAAAAGAGAAGAATGTGTCTATCAGACAGAATTATTTAGTTCTTCTATCTCTATTGCATAAATTTAATCAGATATGACCAAAATTTTTCATTCAAGTTTTCATTGCCAAGAAAGCTTTGATAGATCATTTTGACCCAGACAAAACAATTACAGAATTGTCTGAACTATAAATATTCCTGTTTCTTTCTTTAACTTTGGCTTGCATTTCATTTTCCTCTGCTTAAGAGATACTATTTCATTCTAAAAGGTTTAAGGAGAGTGAATAAAAAAATTAATAAATAAAACAAATAAAAGATAGATACATAACAGAACCCCTCTGTGTTTTATCTAACCTTCTCCAGTCATGAGAAAAGAGCTCTGAGGTCTTACAAGGGTTATACCCCTTGGGCAGATTTCCGAAGATTGTGAAGGTTGAGACTACAGAGTTAACATGAATTAATAGCTAGTGTTCTGCAATCCCCTCCAAATATGATGTATTTGTGTGCTTATGAAGCAACTTGGGAGGTTAATGAGTAGAAGTACGTACTCCACATAATCATTTAAATTAATTATATTTGCAAAAAAAAAATTAACACATTATCTGCATCTTTGTTTTTGGGTATCTAATAAAATATGTTAAATGTTTCCTGATTACTATTATCCACTTATGTCTAAATAATATCAAACACTAGGTATTCCATGACACTTTTTTCTAACAGATTTTTCTATTACTCAATTCCTTACATTCCCAATCCCACCTGCAGAGTTCTTTGGTTACAGGTTCATAACCTGAGGCCAGGTGATTTATCTGCCAGTGCTTATATTAAGCACTTCTCTTGCCATATCAAATGTTGAGACACCTTGTGAAACCATAAGTGTCACTGATAGGTAGGAACTATCTCACAGTAATTAAGCATGACAGAACTGTCCTAGGCCACAAGTTGATAGAAACATATATTCAGTACTTACTAACAATGTAAATATATACAGCTACAAAATTAGTCATATTTTACAGTGCGAAGAGGCTATTACAAAGACTTTTTGCACTCTTAAAAACACAGTTAGACCACTGATGTGCAGCTGCACCTGGTTGCTGTGGAGTCCTTAGTTCATACTCAACCCTTTCAGAAACTGTGTGGGGTACAGAGTGGTTCCTCCATCCGTCTAAACAGTGCTGCAGGACTGAAGTTTCATTTTGGAGTGTGCACCAGTAAGAGCAGAGATGAGTGCCATGAAAATGAGGAAACAATTTTATGACTTTTTAAACAAAACACTAGTGTTTCTCCATTACAGAACTTCTCGAAAGAGAAAGATGAAGCCTCCTCTACCAGCACATCCTGAATCAATATCATAACTTCTCTGAAAAAGTTGAAGGTCATTTCCAGTGGGATGCCAGCAAAGATGAAGCTCCATTTCAATACAGCATCCCAGTTAATTCCCTAGTGAAGAAGCAGCAGAAATTTATGCAGTGGGATGACTGCTGTCCTGCTGGAAGGTAAAGCTTGGTATTGAAAAAGCAGAGGGAGTGGAGGGAGGAGACGGGGAAATAGCTCTAGGGAACACATTCTGGCTCTAATTCCTATGTGGGATTAAGCATTTTATATTCTGGTTTCTGACAAAGAGAGCATGAATGCAATTGTAACTGATCTATATGGTTTAAAGAAACCTTTCACACAGTTTACAGCTCTGAACCACCTGGTCTGGCAAGCAGGACTGCTTTTTTGCTTCACTAAAAGACCACCAAACCTGGTATGAACCACAAATTATCTCAAATTTTACAAAAGATGCAGCCCTGCCAAGACTTTCAGACCAGAGAAATTCAGAATAACATTTGTGTGCATCTGAATATCAATTTCTCAGGACCCTGTGTGGCCTGTCCCCTTCCTTCCCTTCCTCTGTCTCCCTCCCCCTCTCCTAGAGGTTTAGCTGACCGCAGGCAGGGCTATTACCCACAGCAAAAGCTGCTGCGAGGGAAGAACTGGAAAATGCCCTATCCAAGGCTGTATAACCTTTATTTGGGGACTGCCTCAGATGAGGCTCCTACCCTCAGTCTCACCATGTTTTCCTGCAGTCATGTCTGACCCTGGCTCCCCCCACCAGGTCCATATCCTGACTCCCACCTGCCGGCCCATGTCCTGGCCCATTCTCAGCCCATCACCGTCTCCAGGGACGTGACTTGATGCCTGGTGCTGGGGTTATCCTGGTGTTCCCAGCTACCCTGCTCCTTGCTGGGGGATAGGATGGACCCTGGCTCCTTAGCCATGCCCCAATGGACCCCCATGGTCAGGCCCACATCTCTCAGGGACCACAGAATCACAGAATACGCTGAGGTGGAAGGGACCCACAAGGATCATCGAGTGCAACTCCTACCCCTGCACCCATTCCCAAATCTGTGAGCCCTGGCCCTGAGCACAGGACCCAGCCTTCAGCTCCTGACAAAAATTTGGACCACAAGCATTAGGACTGCAAGATAACCATGAATTTTTTAAGATGGGATTTAGATTTTGAAGAGTCTCACTTTTCTGAAGAAATCTAGCCTAACAGATTTTGAAGAGAGTAGCATTAAAAAAACATGTCCTTTTCATCAAGTTGCACAATACCTTAGCTACCAGTAAAAATGAAAATAATATCCTGTACACACTGCCATTGGCTACGGGATTTAAAATACTAAAAGTAATCCCATTATTATAGCTCTGGTCTCAGTAAACATTTGTTATACACCAGAAAGAACCCAGAACAACTAATATCAATATGCATTCAGAAAGAACAACAACCTTAAAGCTTTCTTATGGGCAAAACTGCCTCATTATTTACTTTACAAGCTTCAGGACTAGGATTTCTGAAGCTCTTTTTCAGTCCTCTTTTAAAGTGAGAACGCATCCCATCTTTCCTGCAGGACTTCCCTATTTTTCAAGGCCTCATCACCTTACGCTTGTACATAATAGAGCTGTTTAACTGTGGCAATAGGAGGTCTAATGAAATATTACCACTCCATTTCTTCAAGGACTCCTTTGGATTCTTGTGTCATTTATCCTTCTCTGAATCATAGTGTTTACTTTGGACTCTTTTTCTGGAATTGGTCTTCAGTGTGCCTGATTGATTTGATGAATCACTGAGCTGCCAGTGACCTTTGACCCCACTCAAGAACAGAAATGTTTCTCTGAGGCTGGTAGCCTGTGCTCACTCTTGGCACTGCTCCAGGTTTCCTCTGAGGAGCAGCTCTTTGATGACAGGTAGTCTGCTTGGAGGAGGCCTATTGACATCACTGGAATTGGCTTCCCTTGCACACTGGGGGTAGGAGATACAATTCAAGGAGATTCGAAAGGCACAGGAGGATGGGGGAAGGGATGGTCTTCTGCGAGTCACTGATCAAATGGCTTGTTTCTTCTCCAGAGTCAGAAACAGTTCTCTTCGAAGTGGTGCAAGGTATTTGAGGCCATTGGCCTGTGTGCAGCTGAGACTCCAGTTGAGTTGCTGCTGTCTGCTTAGTAACAACAATTTTTCTCAGTTAGAAACTTCAGAAAACAGCATGTGTTTGGAGAGGCAGGACACTGCTGTTGCTGTTGCAAAGTATGGGGTATCCTCATCTCCCTACTCTGACTGCAGTGGAAGCTGAGAGCTCTCAGCACTTTGTTGGCAGTGATCATCACCTCGTGATTAGGTCCATGGACAATTAAGGCTTTCAGATATTCCCGCACAGAAGTGATGAAGAGTTGCAAACATGAGGTTCTGATTCTCACTACTGTTATGAAGTGTGACTGTTGAAACATTTATTTCCACTTCCAGTATTTGTCCATATGTGTTCTCCCCTATGGGTATGAGGACACAGTGTGGGGTTGCAATTTGAAATCTGGCAAGCGGGATCTGCTGGGGACATTCCTATTTCTCATATGTCCACCTCCTGTGACGCCGAAAGTGTCAAGGGTAGTTCAGGTATAATAGCAGTTTCTTCTCAGCATTCATGTTCTCCCTGGATAATCACTGGTATTATAGTCAGTAGGTTAAATAATGTTAGCTTAACAGTGCTGATTAGGTAGTTGTTCCCTGAAAGTTCTTTAATCAGATTTAGTTTGTAGTCAGAAATCAAATGAGATTCCTCCTTTGTGATAAGTTGGATTGAAACAATGCCCATCTTTTAAGACAGAATCACTTCTTGCTTGAAGAATGCAGTTTTTTATCAAGAAGGGCCTCAGAAACTGCAACAAGTATTTAAAGATGCTTTTTTCCTTTCTTTTTTTCTTTCTTTTTTAATTTTCCCACACCTTTCCCTATTCAGTCCAACCAACCCCACCCGACATCTCAGAGTTTAGAGTAACAATTCCTCCACAGTTCTGTGTTCCCAGGATTCATACTCACTCCCCCTGGTCCAGGAGGCTCTGCTCACCCTTATCATTTTTATCCTGAAGGAAATATCACTCTTGAAGGGTGTGTTTTTAGGACAATGGTAACTGAATATGCAATCTAGATGAAAGAGGTCTCTTCACTCAACTTTTGCTAAAGAAATCTAATTCTTTTATTCAATCTTGTCCCAAAGGGCCTCTGCGTAGAGAAGTATGGACTTCAGGAAATGCAAGAGACCTAGTCAGCATCTGTAGCCATGTCCTTACCTAATTATCCACGTGGAGACTAGAATAACTGCTAGCATTGCTTACAGAGATCAGTGGCTTTGTTAAGTTCATTAACACTATATGTTTTTGTTTCTTTAACCTATGTCTGTGCTGGTCCAGAATGAAATGCACAGCACTAAGGCAAAGGACACACAGTGGCAAAGGACATCCAGATTTTGAAAGAACAAGCTACTTCTGCCCTCAAATGGGTTGACCATTCCTCCAGTACACATGTAACAGGGGACAGCCTGATACAGACAAGTGGAAAAGCAACCAACTGTCCAAACAGAAAGTAGGTTGCACAAAATTTGGGCAGAATTGTAGAAAAAAGCACCTTACATGGGAGGTGATTACAAACTAAACTTTTGAAAAAAATAAAAACTTCATACTGGATATTTATAAACTGGAGCGTGGTTTTGCAAGAC